TTGGCCCCCAGATCCGGTATCTGGTATTCGGGAAGTGTGTTGTAGTTCCGGTAATCCCAGGGACAAAAGGTGAGGTGCGCCGTATACTGCTGAGCCGGGTGTGTTTGCGACCTCTATGTATATGCATGGTAAGGCCGTAAACACACAAAGAACCCCAGTCAGCCTGGAGAGTATGGGAAGAGGTTGTAAGAGGGACAACGATTACATTTACGCGACGCCATGTCGCGATGGTGGTTGGGTATTGGCGCAAGCTACTTGTGTGCGAGGAGCGCTCGTACATTGCAAGTTCCGGATAAGCTATCTTCCCCCTCTTTTGCGCCTTCCCGACTTCGCCTGGACACGCGACAACTTTGCACTCCCTTAACGTGCCTTGAGGGCGTACGAAAAAAACTATCCGCGCGCCAATTATTACTCACGCATGATAGATCCCCGGCCTTGCAGCTGATGAGCTCCGCGGCGCAGGTGGACAGTTCAAACGGTGGGTTGGCGGCGCCTGCCACCGAGCTTTGCCGCGTTTACTCATAATACCGCAGAAAACAAATCCGCGAACCATGCGAAGACGTCATTGGCAATTTTGTCACCCGAGATTAGTTTCGGTACCTGCTCACTTGCTGTCCTTTCGTCCGAATAAGGCTCATGCCTGCCCAAGCCCAGGCAAAGCGCCGTTCCGCACCCCAGCCGGAGGAGAAGCCTGCCAAACGAACCCGAGTATCACGAGCATGTGACCAGTGCCGTGTCGCCCGTGAGAAGTGCGACGGAGTACAGCCAACGTGCTCCACTTGCTCAGGAACGTCAAGAGAATGCTCGTACACCGCAAATCCCAAGAAAAGAGGTATCCAACCTGGCTACATTCGCACTCTTGAGCTAGCACTTGCCTATTTGTTCCAGCGAGACTCTGAAAATGAGACAGCTCTCCATGAGAAGCTGGCGCAAGAAGGAGCATCTTCACTACTATTGGGTCGTGGTGACTCGAAAGAGGCAAACAAGCTGCACAGACGATGGCGGAAAGCGAAATTTTACACCGAAGTGGATAAGCTACTATCTGGAGGAGAACCTTCGCGTCATGAGCAATCGACTGGAATTTCACCTCATACCAGTGATGACGATTCCGGAGCAGATGAGTCTGTAGCTGCACATGCTAGTCTTACCCAGGATCGCAGCGCCTACCTACAGGAGCATGTCGAGCATGCAAATCTCGATCAGCTTATGGCAGCGTCATCTGAACCAATATTGGGAGACAGCTGGAAGCTTATAGAGGTCTACTTCACCAACGTACAATCCTGGCTTCCAATCTGCGAGAAGCATGACATCTTGAAGACTGCCTACGACCTCCCTGTTCAGGGCATTCCAAGTGTATCTGGTCAGCCTGGATCTGGCTTGTTCGCTGAACTATGGAGCGTGCTGGCGGTGGGATCACTTTACGGAACAGCCATGACGTGTAATCCGTTGGACTCTTCATCAGTAAAGCCCAGGAAACTATACGAGCACGCCAAGTCGCTCGTACCCAGTGAACTGGATCGCTTCGACATTGGCCACATCAAAGCCCTTCTTAATTTGGTTGTCTTTAACATGTTGCGAATACATACTGGAGATGCCTGGTTGCTTGTTGGATCTGCCTCAAGGGTCCTGGAAAGTGTAGACCAGGTGACGCTGATGAGTAATCCCAGAGGCAAGCATGTTTATTTTGGTTGCTTTCTGCTCGATAGCATGCTAGCACTTCAACTCAAACGGCGTCCGCATTTCCGAAGAAGCGACTTCGTGCACCTTGGAACCATTGATGAAGACGGTCTGGAAGAGTGGCAACCATGGTCTGGCTTTCAGGATCCCTCACACGCAGGAAGGCGAGCCCCGTTACTCTCTCTCAGCATTTTCAACAGTCTTGTCGACCTTGTCGACGTACTCATTAGCATCGAAGATACAACAACACAGTATCTTTACAAAGATGCGGTCGAGCATCTCGAAAGATGGAGAGCGCTGATGCCTATGAAATTAGCTCACATATGTTCCGACAATACTTTCGCGACCTTGACACCACCGGTCGTCTTACTGTTAACGACGTATCATTGCGCCTCTTTCGCATGCACTCCGTCTGACAGAAGCCTCCACCGGCTGTTGGATGTGCTAGACCATTGCTTCGAACATGCTTCCTCTCAATGCCTACCACCAGCAATCCGGTGTCTGACAGACGTTGTCAATAGGCATGCAGCTCGCATTGTCCTGCATGACGTATACCACATGCGGCTACAAAGACTGCAGGAAAAGGTCATAGCCTATTTTGACGTGCCGAATCATTTGCAAGTGCCGGAGAGCTCGGTCATGCCTTTCAGACAGCATATAAACGAGGCCCATATGGTAACTCCGGATCCAGGACAATCGATGTGTTCAAACACACGTCCTATAGCTCAGCCGGTGGCAGTCCCTCAACATACGCTGCATCCGGGCTCTACTCCGTCTCAATTCGATCCTCGCTGCCCAGAGCCTACCAGCGATCTGGAGAGCTTTTTCGACGAATTGGCGTCACTGGATAGCACAACTAGGTCGAATTCCCAACCACAATTTTTGCAAAACCTTGGCTTCGGTCCAGAAGCGAGCATGGCCGACTTGTTCAGCGAATACACACCCATGCAGTCTTCGAATTTCATCCCTCGCGAAGACACCACGCCGACACATCTGGATCAATATAACTTCTACGATGCCAGCTGAACTCAGCTGTCCAGTTGCACTGTCAGACTGCCATAAAATTCAGTCTTCCGCCCTCGATCTCGTCTTGTCTTCCACCACTCGATGTCGAACATATATAATATGTAGCGGCATTCATCCGATCTCTGGACTGTATCCCGCAGATGGACGTGGAAGTAAGATTTACTCTTTGAAGTCCCTGTACCCGAAGTACTCTTCCAAGGAAATATCACTGTATTCCATATGCCCCGGGCTAGTATGACGAAGCGATTAATGGAGACAACCTTCACGGCCTTTCTGAACTCTGTTATCGCCATGACGCTTGGAAGAACGAAGATGCGTTGTGGTATCCAACGACAGCACCGTATAGGATGTCTTCCGGCCTATGGGTTTACTCAAAGGCGAGAATACGAGATTGCCCTCGGGCTGGCTGCCGCTGAGTAGGAGACGTTCCTGCATTTCGGATTTGCGAAGGGGTTGTTCGGAGGAGGCTCAATGTGCAATGCTCAGGCCACCGACGAGGCTGCACAGCCAAGCAGTGGAATTTTGAAACAAGAGGCTATGGACCACTTAGTCCTCCAACCGACCGAACTTTGAAACAAGCTGCTGACAATAATTGGCATGGATATAATTGTCATCTGGGTGATTCCAGATAGACGAGTTTCTCGACATCTCCTTGGTACATCAGAGCGAGGCGCAGCGCGAACGGAGCAATGCCCTACTCGAGTATAAGTCGATACGGCGCATAACAACGAAATAGGAGGACATGTCGCATCGTGTAATGCAGCCGCAAATTTGCGCTCAACTGCAATTCTAGCTAGAAATGCTAAGAGTCGCCTTGTCCTGAAGTAAGACTTGCCGGCAGCACAGTCCACGATGCCTAGGAAAAGTGGTACGGAGGTCCGCGCCGTCAGCTTATGCGAGCTAACCTACCACTCCTCTCAGATCAGGGTCCTGACTATACAAACTTGTATGGGTACCTGAATCCACCGCTAGGGCTCGATGTTCAGGGAAAATCGACAGGGGTCTGTATAGACGAGTACGGAGTCGCTTGGAAAACGAGACGACATTGGTGTGAGATGCGTCCTGGTAGCGCGTAGCAGTCTTATTCATGATCTTCGGTTAAAATGCATACTCCGGGCTTGGAGGACGGTGCAGGGTCATCGGTGAAAAATTGCCGTGATGTTCTTTGTTGTTGTAGCATACGGGGTAATGTCGGTTTGATTAGAAATGGATTTGTATTACTTAGAAAGACGGTTAAGGGAGAGATTTCGAGATCGATGTCGTCATGCATTGTTGCTTGAATCTTGGTGATACCTTGGAGTGATGCTTGGCTATGACATTCACGGTTGCGCGGGAGGTTTATTTCATACTGTCGACGCGTATTGCTTGTAAAAGCATGCGACTGTGCCACCAGCACCGGCTCCGGCCTGTTAACCAGTGGTGGGTTGAGAAAATAACAAACAAGGCTGTGTGAAGAGACGCGCAATGGTTCCTTAGCCACATGGCGTGTCCGCCCGATCTGCTGTAGGAATGTTCGATGCTTGCATCGTATGCCCAAGAAACGGAGTTAGGTACGCGCCCCAGACCTTCGAGACGAGCTCGATTGGGTCATGGTGTCGTCTGCCAAGCTACTGGTGCATGCTTACCCCACACTTTCCGGATCGAGCGGCGCGTGCTTGTTGCACTTCACCTCAGCCCAGCGTCCTGGGTCTAGAAACAACGCGGACTCTCTCAATCGATTTCTGACAGCCAGTCTATCAGACTTGACCAGGAAGTTGCAAGCACTACTGTAAAAGAGCGGCCGCTATAGGTACCGTTGTTGGCGGAAAACCTCCAAAGAGCAAGAGCTGGTAGAGAATGAATACACACGGGTGATCAACAGCCTCAATGTCGCTATTACATGCCACCCAAGTGCATGCGGAGAACGCTAGCCGCTTGTTGGTCGCATCTATGTACGGCTTCAGCTGTGTCATAGCTCCACTTGTGCGATGACTTGGCAAACTCTTTCCCGTTGTCACTGGGCAACATCGCGAGCTACAAGCTTCGCCCTGGAAGGCCGTGCTACGAAAGGAGGCCTTATTGGCCAGCATGGGGTGCGGAAAGAACTGGCCGGTGGCGTTTGTTCGAAATGTGCTTGGAAGAGCAAATGCCAACCTTGCTGAGGCCCGGCGGAACAATTGGTCTGTGGCTATGTGCATGGGTGGCATAGTACTTATTGTCCAGCTTCCCCTCTTGTTGTGTACCATCTGGACAATCATCCACCTCCTACTACCTCCTCTCGTGATATCGTAGTATCATCAGGTCGGCCTGTCATCAACATGCTCAAGCAACTCTCCGTCCTCGCCCTTGCGGGCTTCGCACTTGCTCAGAACGAGACTGTCCCTGATCTCGCTGCCGCCTTGAACTCCACCGACGAGCTTTCCACCCTCCAGTCGGTCATTCCCGCAGGTGTACTTGAGTCTTTGGCTGGTCTCACCAACATCACCATTCTCGCACCCTCCAACAGTGCTTTCGGAAAGATTGACAATGAGACACTTTCCAGTCTCACTTCCAACGAGGGCCTCCTCACCGCCCTGCTACAGTACCACGTGCTCAACGGTACATTCAGGTCGACCGACATCACCAACACCAGCACCTTCGTTCCTACAGCGTTGACCAACCCAATGTTCACCAATGTCACTGGAGGTCAGGTTGTCGAGGCAATTGCCATGGATGACAGCGTGATGTTCTACAGTGGTCTGCTCGCCAACTCAACTGTTACAACAGCCGTATGTGCTCTTCCCTTATTTTTTCTCTTGTTTAGCTAACAAACGCAGGATGTTAGCTTCACTGGTGGTGTGATCCACATCATCGACAGTGTCCTCACTCTACCTGAGAACACTGCCGACACCCTTTCTGCCGCCGACCTTGTTGCCCTCCGCGGGGCCATCAACGCGACCGACTTGTTTGACACCGTCAACAACACCCCGAACATCACCATCTTCGCACCCAACAACGAGGCTTTCCAGAACATTGGCTCTGCTCTCGGTAACCTAAGCACTGAGGACGCTGCCAGCATCCTTACCTACCACGTCATCGCCGGCACCATTGGCTACTCCTCTACCCTCGAGAACGGTACCAACCTCACCACTGCCAACGGCGAGCAACTTACTATCACTATTGGTGATGGCGGTATCTTCGTGAACAACGCTCGTGTCGTCGCTTCTGATATCCTCATTGCCAACGGTGTTGTCCACGTCATCGACGAGGTCCTCAACCCCTCCAACGCGACCATTGCCGACCCTACCTCTGACGAGGGAGAGCCAGCATTTGAGGGCGCAACTCCTGTCTCTGATGTTCCCTTCACCAGTGGCCAGCCCACTCCCACCACCAGCATCGGCGAAGACGCTAGCGATGCTGCTGACCCCACCAGCACGCCTTCCAACACTGACAACGCTGCCCCCAGGCAGACTGGTGCCATTGGCATGAGCGCGCTGCTCGGCGCTGCTGCCGTTTACTTCTTGTAAGCGTATACAGTTTCGCAAATTGTGTAGGGCTTGTTGTGTGAATGATATCCATAGGGGGTTTCTTGTAAGGGACGATCGTTATGGAGTAATGTAATATACCTCAGCGAATTATTCGCTCATCCAGTCACGTTATTAGACATGAAATCGAGATTCGTTTTACTCTTCGAACTTAATTGCGGGAATCTGGTAGTTCGCGCATCTGATCACCAAATGTTCGCGCAGGTGACCCTACGTAGATTGCGTACATCTTGTTCGTTGGCTAGGGATCTTAGTTGTTGATAAGTGGTGTTCGCGTCATAGTGGATGAATCTGCCGAGACAACGGTCTCTAGCAGTGTGCGACGGCTTTTGAGTCCGAGTCTCACAGCTCGATGTTACCGTATCATGTCTGCTCTAGATTAATCGCTCCATGTGACTGCGTTTCAGGTCGGCAGACTTACCCGGTGGCACACCACCCGCACGGCTTATTTGAGATAATGACGTTGTACAATACATCGCGCACAACGGATAATGGCATCTGGTGCACAAAATCCTATGCTGCTAAGCACAACACGTCTCAGTCCGACCCGAAAGCAAGTTGACCACGGCAAATGCCCAATTACGCGTGTCTTTGCGCAAGACCTTTCTTCAACGTGTTAACAGAGAGCCTCGCGCGCAAAGACGGGAAGACCCCTTCATCGCCTCGTCCCTGCTCACTCGGTCTGTTGCGAACTGTGCCACAAACCAGCGTTCAAGCCACCGCACCGGCTGCCCCATTAAAACAGTTTCGGCACGTTCGGTGTCCAGAATCCTCCGAGCTTAAGAACCGCTCGGGCAAGGGTTCAAACGCTAAATCTTCACGACATTTTAGTGCCGCTTTCCACGGCTACTGCATCTGGTAGTTTCGGCGACACCTTTGGGGTGTTCTCCAGTTTCGCGTTCTTACCGCCATGCCACCTGGGCAATGTCGGATTCCCAGTGCGTCGCAATCATATCTAAGACAATTGCCAGGCTGTATACTTAACATATCGCTTGCCGCAAACGAAGCAAAACCAGGTGCCTGCATGCGATGTCACTATCCGGGTACCTGTCTGAACCGGCGTTTGACTCGTATGAGACATGGGAATATACACGGAGTTTTCTAGAAACTCAAATCACAACGCTTCTCTTCGAACGTCCAGCTGTGGGGGGAAAATAGCGCTCAAATTGGAAGGATTGTCGAAATTTCGAAGGGAGGTGGTATCGATCCTGCTGGCACGGACGCCGTAGAAAACCCTATGCACCAAGACTCTGATCACCAGCGAAACCCCGCAAGACATCGCGTTATCTCGGTGTCGAAGCTCTCTCGCTGTGAGTGCATATCGTGCCAGAAAAAGCGACGGATAGCGATAATCAGCTCTCCACAAAACGGACGAATATGCAGGTTCTCGCGGCGTCCGAGCTTTCGATTGGCGAAAGGAACCGCAGATTGCCCAGAAGTGGATCGCCAAACCAGGGCCGCGGTCGTTCCGAGATCCGTTCGACCCTTTTACAGTTCTCCAGCCTCCACATCGCAAATGCAGCATGCACCTGGGCATCATGATCTTCGGTAGATCACAGAGAACACCCATCTCCAGCCCTTGCGCGGCGAGAGCGTCGTACGATATCGTGGAGTGGACGCTGCGGAGGGCCGTTGCATGGTCGCATAACTACCTAGGTGCAACGGCACAACAGTGACCAACGAAATATTTCTCGTTCCTGGTCCCACTATCTGTCATTACCCGCGAGCGCGAGAGCACAATCCTATACCCGCAGCTTCGGTGGCGCTAAGTCCTCGCCAACCCAACGGAGGATTTGCAATCTCCAGAAACAGCCGAAGGAACCTACCTGTCGTATCGTAGTGCTGTCGCCATGATTCACTCGTGGCGTACATGCATTTCTCTGATTGAACCGCTGACCTCGTCCGCTGTGGGTTTTACCATCTCGGCGTCTTTCTTGGGGGCTAATGGCAGGGTAGTCCGTGAGTTTGTGACGGCATCATGCTGGGTTGACGCCCGTGCGGAGCGCATGTCTGGGTGCGTCGTACGGGATATATGAGTGTTGCAGGGTAGGCCGCGGCGCTGGAACATTGCGCGCCGTCTTACACGCGTCTGGTCCAAAATTTTCGTCGGTTTTGTGTTGTACTGTTCTTGGGCTTATTGATGCGCCATCTGTTCCCATATCGTCGAGACTGGCACTCGTTCCTTTGTCATTCTCTTCAATAGCCGCAGTGTTGTTCAGGAACGCGCGATAATCATGTTCCGTTTATCAAGATCCTGGAAGGATAAAGGGGAGAAGCACCAGGTCGATGTGTAAGTTTGATCGAACCGACCGCGCGCCACACATACGTTCTGAAGGAGTCAAGGCCGTTCATGGCCATCACGATTCGCAGGGTCTTTTCAGGCCCCTGTTTCAAACTTTACGGGTGGTTCAGTAGTCGAAGTGCCGTCAACCTCATTCACTGACCATTTTTAGTTATGAGCCGTCTCGACCGAGATCTGTTAGCGTGTCGACAAACCGTTCCTCCACCACGTCCAGAACGGTTGTAGTTCCAAAGGCCGCTATACGTTCATCAACTCGATATGCCGATGCCGAGATTCCCATCCGGAGCATACATAAAGATGCGGCATATGATGCCTGGGCTGTACCGCGCCTGACGAAAACTCCATGGGAGCTCGAACGAGGCAGGAGGAACTCAACGCGCAGACGCTCAAGGCCTATTTACCAATTCCCGGCACATATTTTCAAGAAGCTCCCGAGAGAAGTGTACGACTGCATTCTTGCCCAATTGGATCTGATCTATCAGGACCGCAGCCAAGCTTGTGCTTCATGTTATCTTGGAGATCTCCACAGCCTGTCATTGACGAGCCGTGCATGGGACAAGGCTGCGAGTGCTGTCATGTACAGCAAAGTTCTAGTCCTCACCAATGAAGAGCATGGCGGGCTCCCGAAGCTCAAGACAAAAGGCACAAGCCGACTAAAGCTTTTACGCAGGACACTTCGCGAGAATTCTGGACTATCCCGGCGTGTACTGGAATTACACATGTCTGATTTCCAGTCGCTTTACGAGAACGCAACCATTGAGCGAGAAGAGATCGTGGATCTTGTAGCTTCGTTGGTTATGGCTTGTCCGCGTTTGGAACGCTTAGTCGGATTCCATGTCCACTTCTCACAAGCCTTTGATCGATTGTCGCACGCGCTGTCTACAAGATCAAATCTCAGGGAAAGAGCGTGGATGTTGACCAATGCCGATGGAGACGCCGGAGCAGATGACGAAGACGACGAGACAATAAGAGGCAACTATATCGCCGAATGTGACCCGACCGAACGCTTCCTCAACCTAAGCTCTCAACATTCCAATTTATCAACTCTGATTCTGCATCAAGAGCAGGGCCAGTGTTTGACATATCTTAATTTTCGAGCTGTGGTTGGAACTTTCAGAAACTCTCCACATCTGCAAAATCTGGCGATTTCTGGACTCGCGGCGCACTCGTTTACCAACATAGCTTTGAACGCTATACCACCAAACTTACAGTCACTGCGCCTTGAAAAGCTCCCCGGTGTCACGGAGAAAGGTATTCAGCGCCTTGCTACCTCACGGCAGGCTGTCTCAATCCAGAAACTGACGCTTGTGGACTTGGAAATTGAAAGCATACTCACGATAGCGGACATTCTTTCTTCACATCTTGCCAGCTTGAAGGAGTTCTCGCTCGTCCAAACCAGAGCGCCAACATTATCGAGGCGAACTTTCGATCCTGTGTTCGACTCGCCATCACTCCGATACATCCACTGGGAAATACGCTCTGAGGCCTCCCCGTTGCCTTCATTCATTTCACCCACATCTGCGGAGCTACCAGAATCACTACCATTTCCTTTCCCAAACGTTGAACCGATATGCTGCCACGCCACATCCCTGTTTGCAGCAAGTATCCAGGCCAACGGCTTTCCATTGCTACGTCGCATTCGCATCCCTCATGACCCTCAAGGTGTTATACAATCGCTTTGTAAACCTCTTGCGACAGCACTCCTTCCGTCCGATACGTCCAAAATTGCGACCGCTTCATGCATCTCTACTTCGGACGGATTTTCTATCGTGTTGGAAGAGCCTGTCGCGGATTCTCCAAATAAACACAGAGCGTCCATCTATGGGGTGACATCAGCGTCACGTGTAGACTCTGTAGTCGGCTCCCCGACCTTCGAACCGAGCCATACAGATGTCGCCCTTACGCCGATGCGATCGCGTCTCGCAGCGCAATCACGAATCCTTGCCGCAAGAAAGAATGCCGCCATGACAATATGTGTGTCCAGCCCCGAGGGTGAGATTAAAGTGAAAAAGGTCATTGGTGACTATGTCGGCTACGTGGGCAGCAAAATCACGTACGATTTGAAGGCTGATAATGAAACGACGGGGCGAACTGAATGGATCACAGGGATGAATGACTTGGTCGGCAACGCTGAGAAAGAGAACCAGGACATATCCGAAAGCAGTCGAAGAAGTTGTGGACATCTTGCTGGTAGCGGAGGGGGCAATGTAGTGGGGGTTGAGGATCTTTTCTGAGTCGTACGTTTCTTCTGTCGAACCGTCTCCTTTGTTCTCAATCGTTCGCAGGTATGCTGCAATGTCTTTTCGGTCCTAGAACACCCGGTGTGTTCAGCTTAGTTCAAATAATTTCTAATGCAGACTTAGCCAGCGCATCCCATAGGCAGCGCTTTTATGCAATGCATCATGATCAAACATGTTCACCAACCGATGAGCATTATGAATACAGGGATGTCGGCAATGAAGGCCGAAGTGTGCTCGATCAAAGACTCGGGCCGAACAACCATCATGAACGCGCAGTTGCTGATGGTGCACCTGAGTTGACCTGGAGCCAATCGGAATCATGCCAACCCTTGCGCAAGCAATCTGTTTCTGACAGCCATGAAAGAGTGGGCCCGGCTCGCGATGCGCGGGTGGTATGGCGAGATGGGATTTGATTTGCGCATGCCGGCGATAGCACATGC